TATTTCCTATTTCTTCTAAAAATAGTTTCACATTAGTAACCATTTTATATATTAGCTTGGCCCAGGAATATTGAATGTCATAAACTATATAATTGATATGCATTTCAAGTGGCAGGAAGCGATGCTAAATCAATATGTGATTGCAGAGTTTAGTAAAACCAAATGTGACGCTTGAGAACTGAGGCATGTTGACTAATGTGGCTCAAGTGAAACCTCCCACACCTGCTATTTTTAGGGTAAGCAGAGCTGGTCCTTTTCCTGTGTGGCAGGCCCCTTGCACTGTGTACACTGTGGTGTGGGGACCCTGCCCACCACATCCTGTGGCTTCGCCTCTTCAGCTTCACTTTAAGAACTGAAAGACAAATTCTCAAGAGCTCTGCCGGAGAACTTGCAGTGGGGCTGCACCACATTCCCTGATGGATGAGTAGCCCCAACCTGAGGGTACAAATTAAATCCAAATTTCTAATCATGGAATTTGAATGTCAGGACAGCTCTCTGGTTTTAGACATGGTCCAACCTTGACCAGAAATGTTCATATGTATCTAAAATGCTTTCCTTAAGACCATGGACCCCCACCACCTATAGTAACCACCCCTCCTTTCTTATGTTAATCCTGAGAGTCTGGGAGTGAATTCAGCACTGGGTGGCAGACAGCTCCATACGTTTAGGGGTCAGCCAGCCCATGTATCTTATCCAGGGGTCCTTGAACTTAATGTACAAGGGGAAGAAGTAGGACTACATGGTTTCCATGTTTTGTGCAGGATACTGTATAGGTACACACTTTCTTCCATAGTTGACATGCACGACAACTACATTTTGACCAGATGTAGACATTTGCTCTTTGGGTGGATTGAGAAGCCAGAACACATTCCACAGCAGAAAGTATGTCTTGCTTCAAAAGATGTAACAGGAACTTGGAGTTCAGTTACGACCCAAGGATGGAGACTCTGGGATGTAGGGTAGTAATTCATCTGAAGACAATGGGAAGATAGACTCACCTTATCCAGGAAATGAGATTTCTCCTCATACTCATTTCAGTCACAGAAAAGTACCCACGAGTGCCTGGGGGCTGATCCTTTGCTGAATTCTGTTGAGCACATATCTGTTTTATCTGCTGTAAATATTGCTACCCTGATTTCTTTTTGTTTTTATTTTCAGAACATTTATTTTTTTATCCTTTCACTCTCACTCTGTGTATGTCTTTCCACCTGATGACTCTTTAGCAGACAGTGTGTCTTGTTTCCTTGTTCATTCTGCTCCCCTGTAGTTTTTGAATGGAGCATGTTCTCTGTTAGCATTGAAACTAAGGGTTCATAGACACATATTTATTTCCATTTCATTTCAAAATTTTAGCTGTTTTTTTTTCTACCTGAATAAGTCTCTTTAGCATTTCTTGTAATACTGATTTGGTGATGATAAACTTTTGCTTTCTCTTGTCTGTAAAGCTCCTTATCTGTTCTTGGATTCTAAATGTCAGCTATTCTGCATAGAGAAATCTTGGTTGCAGGTTCCTGCTTTTCATCACTTTGTATATTTTGTCCCAATCATGGTGGTCCTGAAAAGCTGTGGCTGGCACACAAATGGGAGGAATTCACTCAGGCTGGTGAACAGCAAGGACAGAGCCAGCAACCACAGCAGAGGAACAGCTGGGAAGGGGCGGACCCCATGGGGCAGAACTCACTTCAGCAGGGCTCTGGTGTCTGCTGACTCCACCCCTTGAGTGTGTCACTGGTGGGGGTGATCAGGTGGCAATCTGATGTCATCTGAAGCTGTCCACTGGGTGTGTTGGCTCCTAGGCCTCTCCGGATGTACAGGTCAAGGTCAGCTACCATCTGTGCCCATCCCGAGGACACCTAGCATGAGCTACCAAGAAATCTGCTAATGGCTGCCCCTTGTGCTGGACTTGCAGGTGTCAGGGAGAGGCTACACTGCCACCTGAGGCTGACTGCCACTACTGCCTGGCCTGGGAACATTTAGCTGAGGTACAGGGCACACTGAGGCCAGATACTGCTAATTTTGGTTTTGCAGACTCTGAGGGACTTTAGCGTGAGGCAAGGCAGGCTGTTTGTATGACAGTCCCCTGGAAGTGGCTGGAGTGTGCTGACAAGTTGGGTGAGGCAGAGCCTCAGAGAATCATCAGGGTGGGGTGAACAGTGTGAGCCAGACTGATGGAGACTCAGATTTGGCACGTGCCTGTGCCTGTGGAGAGCACTCAGCATGTCTGTCTGGGGCAAGCTGACCCTCCAGCCTGGGCCCCAAATTCAGACAATTCACTTCCTCCCCATATGTCCCTGGTGCTCTTCACAGTGCTGCTCCAGTGCTGGAGCTCAGAGGGACTGAGTCCCAGTAAGTCCATGCACAGTTCCATTAAGAGGACACCTGAGACTCCAGTTGCCTCTGCCTCACTTGACCATAATTTCTGCTGGTTTCTACAACCAGAAGTGATGGGGACATCACTTCCCATCACTGGACCTCTGGGCTGAGGAACCTGGTGTGGGACTGGGATCTCTTACTCCATAGGGGGGACCTCCACAGTCAAGATTAAACCCCTGAATTTGAACTGTCTACATGGGTGTTGCACCAGCTCATAAAGTGTCTTCAGCCCTCTACCTGTCTCAGTGTGGCTCATTTAAACCATTAGCTGTGGGACTTCCATTCACCTACCTTTCAGCTGACTGTTTCATTTGGTGGTTGTGGGATAGTGTGAGTTCCACATTTACCTATGCCATGATCTTGTGCAGAAGTCTCAATGTCTAATGATAAATAAATCATTCTGAGTGTTTTCCACTTTTTTATTTAAATAGTAAGTAAGTTTGATTTTAAATAGTTCTTTTTAAAATTTTCCAGACCAATTTTGAATTGACTGTGTTATATATTATTACATCAGCCAGTTTGGACATTGTATGTACATTTCCAATTAGGGTAGTTACCCCCATTGTTAGAATTAGAATTTATTATTGCAAACCACTTTTGCTTCCTCCTCTCCTCTGTATAAGAAAAGGTTATTACACATTAATTTAATTCTTGGCATCTAATTCCCAAAGCTCTGTGTGTGTCTATATCCTTTCTTTCTCACTCACACACACTCCAAATATTTTAACCTGTCTTAAATGTAAATATATATATTTACATTTATATGTATATATATATAAATATATGTGAATGTATATACACATGTACTTTTGCAAAGCTTTTTTTGGTCATTATTTTTCTCATGTTTGCATCTCACAGACTCCATTTTTGTTCATTATTCTTTTGGTTTAAGTGCCTATTTTTGCTTATTTTCCATGAGCATGTAAACAATAAAGTATTGGAGATGTGTTATGTCTGAGAATATCTTATTTTCATTAGGATAGTTGAAAACATTTCCTTTTTTCAAATAAAGGATATAATTCCAATACAAGGTATGGGACTTCTCTGTTAGTTTCATTCTTTATGCCTAGCCCTCAGAAGCCAGAGCCTGATGTGGTGGATTTGACACCAAAGACAAGAGTCCAAGCAGGTCAGACCTGATTCCATCTGGTCATACTCATGGGTCATTCCCTTCTGAACATTTTTCCTGGCTTTTGATAAAAATTTGGGTCAGTACAGAATTCTACATTTACAATCAAATCCACGAGTGTACTTCCCCCATCTTTAGTATTGTGTTTGTTTGAAAGTCAGCTCTCATCAATCTCCCCCTCCTGCCATCAATAAAAAGACACACATTTCATCCTACACCACATGCATGCTCCCTGGCCCTGCTGGATCTCTCTGCCCCTCTGTGAAATGCCCAAACATTGGTCTCTAGGGTGGACACAGGCATCAGTCTCCCTGCTCTCCCTGAAACTCCCAGGATCCACTGGACACTCTCTTCCTAGTCTCCATGTAGCTTAGTTTTCTATTCCAGTCTCTCTGAATCACATACTGCAAAGTGGACTCAGTGCTGGGGGCCACTCAGTCAGTGTCTGTCCTCCATGTGGGTCCCTCTTCATTTGGGGAACTTTCATCTCCCTTTTCCCACATGTGTCTGTGCCTACATACTTTAGAGCTATTGTGAGTAGTAGACTTGGTATTCAGAGCAGACATGGTCTCAAGCAAGTGCAATAATCTTTCCCTTGACCCTGGACATGTTGATCGTCTCATGTCCCAGCCCACTCACATCTTCATCTGGTCTGGAAATGGAAGTCTCTCCCCCATGAACCATCACCACTGACACACAACCACTGTGGGGACTGGGCTTTGGAACAACATTGTCCAGATGAGGAAACTGAGGCACAGACAGGACATTACCACCCAAGGATACATGAACATTGGATGATGAGTATTTAAGTAAATATCTTCTCTAAGTAAAAATCAGTACTGTAACCCAAATCAATATCCCCTGAAGCTTGAAGGCAGGACCACAGCATGAGGCAGAGGCTTGAACCAGGAAACAAGGGGCACTGAGGGGGCAGGGGTCACTCAGAGGCTTGTCCCCAGGAAGGTGGGGTGGATGCTGCTGCTAGGAAATAATGAGAAGTCAGTGAGGGTGGCTGTGATAGAAAGAAAACCTCACTCTGGGGCCAGGGGAAGGGGAGTGTGTCCTTCCCTCACTTTCCTGTGTCTGTCCTTTGTGCTCATTGTCACAGTGACACTCGCCTCAATTGCATAGTGAGGAGGAGACCCTATCTCTGCTGAGCTGAGCTCTGCAGGCACAGGGACCCCGTCTTCCTGAAGCATCTCCAGAACCTGGGTGCTCACTGTCCATGGGCAGGACCCACAGAGAGGGGCTGATGGCTGGGTGAGGTGGGAAAGGCAGCCTATGGGGGAGACTCTGACCTGGAAGGTCGAGCCCTGGGTCACCTCACCTGCAAGAGTCATATCAGGAGGCTCCAGCTTTAATTCTTCCTGCATCATGAGAATGAGAGCTGGACTCCTGTAGAGACACTGTTCCCATTTCTGAGGGGGTGCTGACGTAATAGCCCCGTGATACGGACGGACAACCTCCCACTGGCCACACCCTGTGAGTCTGTCTACACTGAACACACCGTGGTCTCTTCCTTCTACACATTCAGGTTCAGAGAGGTGCACCATGCCCCCCAGCCTCACAGCCCTGCTCTTCCTCGGTGAGATGTGAGAGGGGAGGGGTAGCCCCACTCTGTCAGAATCCCAGCACTCAGGAGTTTCCAGGGGAGGAGAGTTCTGCTGAGGATTCAGGGAAAATCTCTCACAGGGACTCTTTTGCAGGTCTGAGTGTGGGCCTGAGGACCCCAGTGCAGGCAGGTGAGTCTGTCCCCAGGGGCCCCAGGACCATCTCTGCATGAAGAACAAGGGCCTTCCCCATTAGGCAGCTTGGGATGGAGAACAGAAGTTCTGGGTTAATGGATGGGGAATATCAAAGAATGTCCTGGGGCTGAAATTTGGGCACCAGGGATGAAAATGTCTTGTGACCCAGCTTCTGATTCCTTCCAGGGACCCTCCCCAAGCCCACCCTCTGGGCTGAGCCAGGCTCTATGACCCTGTTGCAGAGATCTGTGACTATCTGGTGTCAGGGGACCCTGCAGGCTCGTGAGTTCCATCTGAATAAAGAGGGAAGCCCACAGCCCTGGGCCAGACAGAAGCCACTACATCCAGCAGACAAGGTCAAGTTCTCCATCACACACATGACAGAATATGATGCAGGGAAATATCACTGCTGCTATCTCAGCCCCACTGGCTGGTCACAGCGCAGTGACACCCTGGAGCTGGTGGTGACAGGTGAGAGGACACTTAGGGGTCCCATCCTCAGGCTCTACCCTGAGGAAGAAGGATGCTCTCAGAGGGACTGAGCCTCACAGCTGAGCCCTGGGAGACATGAGGGAGGTGTGACCCCATTTAACATGCTGCCCCCTTCTCTCCTAGGATCCTACGGCAAACCCAGCCTCTCAGCCCTGCCCAGTCCTGTGGTGAACTCAGAAGAAAATGTGACCCTCCAATGTGGCTCACAGCAGGGATTTGACAGGTTCATTCTGACTAAGGAAGGAGAAGACAGGCTCACCTGGACCCTGGACTCACAGACCCACCCCAGTGGGCAGGTCCAGGCCCTGTTCTCTGTGGGCCCTGTGATTCCCAGCCACAGATGGAGGTTCAGATGCTATGGCTGTTACAGGAAGACACCCCAGAAGTGGTCACAGTCCAGTAACTCCCTGGAGCTTCTAGTCTCAGGTGAGGAATTCCTATCCTGGTCCTACCCATGGATTCAGACTCCAGATAGGTTCCTGGGGCTTTTTCTGGGAGGGTAGCCCCATGTGAGAGGTGGGGTGAGGGGAGCACAGGGGATCCTGGGTCAGAGACACAGAGAGAGAGAGACAGGGGGACCTGGGGGCAGGCCAGAAGGATGGTTCATGGGAGGAACAACCCTGTCACTCCTGTCTGTTCCCTGCAGGTGGCTCAGGGAAGCCCTCCCTCCTGACCCAGCAGGGCCCCATTGTGGGCTCTGGACAGAGCCTGACCCTCCAGTGTCGCTCTGACATCGGCTATGACAGATTTGCTCTGTCCAAGGACGGGCAACAGGACATCCCCCAGAGCTCTGTCCTGCAGCCCCAGGCTGGGATCTCTCAGGCAGAATTCCACCTGGGCATTGTGAGCAGTACCCACGGGGGCCAGTACAGGTGCTATGGTAGACACAGCCTCTCCTCCAAGTGGTCAGCCCCCAGTGACCCTCTGAACATCCTGGTGGCAGGTGAGGAACCAGTGAGTTCAGTCAGGGACCCAGAGTCTGCTCAGGCCCTGCTGGTGGTCTCAGGTGGTGATGGCCAGGATAAGGGGTGTGGGGTCTCCATGAAGAGAGTTACAGAGAGGGATATAGGTGATGGGATGGGAGGGGGAGATGCAGAGAAAACAGAGACTGACAGCAACGAGGGTCCTAGAAAGTGGCCTGGTGACTCTCAGGTCACAGCTTGGTGGGCAGCAACCCCTCACCCGCCCCCCTCTCTCTAGGTTGGCTCCCTGACAGACCCTCCCTATTGGTGCAGCCAGGCCCAACAGTGGCCTCAGGGGAGAACGTGACCCTGCTGTGTCAGTCACAGAGCCAGAGGGACACTTTCCTTCTGATGAAGGAGGGGGCAGCTGATCCCCCACTGCGTCTCAGATCACAGTCCCGAGCTCAGCAGCACCAGGCAGAGTTCTCCCTGGGTCCTGTGACCTCAGCTCATGACGGGACCTACAGGTGCTATAGCGCAAACCACAGCAGCCCCTACCTGTTGTCACAGCCCAGTGAG